GTCTAGGGAAATTTGATTTTCTCTTCCAGCTTCCATTAGAAGATATTACTGCAGAACCGCAAGCACTACAAGAAAAAGGTCCTTCTATAACACTAGGAATTGTCTGAATAAGTAGTCTATCACCACATTAAAGCTTTCACTGCATCGATTCAAAATGCCACCCAAGCGGATGTGTTAATAGGCTCCTACTTAATAAAGACATTTTGAAATGTCTTCTTAGAGTCCCTCTTCCAATTACTCGAGATACCACAAGTACATATTTAGTAACACCTTGAAATGTCTCGATACGAAACTTTTTTGTCAAACAAAAAAAAATCAAATTATTTTATTTTGCTACATAAATTCGACGATCAACATGAATTCAACTTGATCATAAAAAGTAATATCATCAAAACTTCAACAAGGAAAGTCACATATTACCATCTATATATGCTTGTGCAAGAGTTACAGTCATTGTTGGAAAATTTGTCCGCACACATATTCTGCAACTTGGAACTTGGAATCCCAAAATACATACTCTGCATGCAACTTAGAACCCCAAAACACATATTCTTCAGGTAAAAAATTCTTTTACAACTGATATAACCACTATAAATTCTAAATCCAACAAAACTTTTGCTGCCCTAGTACTACTAGGAATAATGTTAAATGAAGCAGCTTTACCACCTCTCTAATCCTTTATTGATGGACCATCGACAATTTTTTTGGGTGGCTGGCATTTTACAGGCAAGTTCTTAATGCAATCAGTGTAAGATTTGGGGTTGGAAGAACAACAAAACTTTATGAATCTGCAGAAAAGATCACCTTAACCAAAGGAGTGAGACAGTTGGTTGTGCAATAGCATTGGATACAATGTTGACATCAGGCTTGTACTCCTTATTGTCCTTATCAGTGAAGACTCCAGTTGATTCAACAACAAAGTCAGCTCCAGCCTCACCCCATAGAATCTCATCAGGGTTCCTGACACAAAGAATGAAAACCAATGTTGTTAAACTCGGCTCAGACCGACCTGGTCAACCGGTTAAACCGGAACTTGGACCATATGTCGAGCCGAATTACTTAAAAAATCGTTGTTTCAGAATTCGGTCGAAATCGGTCAAAATTCTGACGAACCGAAAACCGGTCAGACCCGGTCGATTCGGAGTTTTTGGTTTTTACACAATTTGACCAGTTTTTTTACTTTTTTTCCTTGGACTCTGTGTACTCTTTTATCTTTCCTGGGCTAAATCTTTGTCTTTTATTTTTAAATTTCCCAACAACTTTTCTTTAAAGAATTAATTTGTCATTTTAGCAACTTTTCACTCTAAATTATAAAACGCACCATTTTTATTAAAGAAAAATCCCTTTATTATTTTTCTTACATATGAACCTCTATTGTTTCATTCAAAATTAAAATATATCTCAAATATATTGAATTGATTTTTATATTTTACAAATTATTAATACTAAATGTTGATTATCTTGTCAATTTATAAATTTTAATTATTGATAATTTATCAATTCTTAAACTAATATACTTATTTTAATGTATAATTAAATGCTTTAAAGTAATATTATTGACTATTACCAAAGAAAAAGATACATAAACATTAAGTTTTTTAGTTATTAACATATATAATAATTATATTTTTTTATTACGTCATAATGACGTCATCCGAGTCGACCCCCCCTCCCCCCCGAGTCGACCTGAATCGATCCCTAAAATCCCTGACCCCTACCCTTGCCGAGTCGGTGTCCGAGCCGAGTCTGACAACTCTGATAAAAACTGGTTAGGCACTAAAGTGTTGATATTTTTTGGCAAGCACATGTGTGTGGGATCATTATGTGTAACATACCTGAATCCCAACACAGAGACATGCCTCTCACCAAAGAGGAGTGTCTTGGAATCCTTAAACTTGAGCTCATGATGCTTCCATTGGCCATGAACACTATCATACTTGAACATGTAGGTCTACAAGAAAAAACCGAAAATGTTGTCAAATAGCACGTCAAAACACCTCAACCTCAAGAAATACTAAACGCAAATCAGAATACTAAAAATAGAGAAACTTTCCAGACTTTTCTGAGTAATGGTACTTGCATTTAAACTCCCAATGCTTCCAACAAAACAATATATCAAGCATCATCATATCCCTTCACACTCACATGCAAGTCCCAGGAGGAATTATTCACCTCTGCTCTCATTTTCCCCAAGTTCTAAGTGTCGTTTTAAGAGACTGGAATCATGCCCGTGACCTATACCATATACCTCAGTGGACAAAGAAGGAAAGCAACACAGTTTCATAACAAAAAGGTTTAAGGTCAAAGAGGAAAGGCTACTCAGTGTTAGCATTAGAACTTTTACATTCTGAATTTTCAGAATTCAGGTGACCATGTGGCCATGTTCAAATAACATTTTTGAATAAACCATTAATCCTTCTAACAAGCCGTCAAAACTATAGTAAAGAGGGATATATAGGGAAGGGTTTCACCAAAAGAGATCAGAGAAAAAAGCTTAAAAATCATGAAAAATAAATCCCTTAAAACGGTGTCTCAGACCAGATTTTCTGACAAAGTTTCGAAACTGATAAGTTTAAACTTGATTTTCAGATAAATTGTAACTCCATTTAACAATCCGTAAAAACTATATTAAACTACACTGAATGAAGAAGAGTTATATAGAAAGAAATTCTGGAAAAGGGTTTAAGACCTAAGGGAAAAAGGCCTGTTAACAAGAGTCACAAATATGATTTTTCTACATTTCTAACAATAAACATGTCTAGTTCTATTCAAATTTCCAGACAACTAGAAGTGTATATGATCATCCGTAAAAACCACATTAAATATACTAAATTAACACTAAATGAAGAAGATTTTCATAAAAAGAAAATTCGGAAAAACAGTTCAAGACCTAGGATAAACAAACCTGCTAACAGAGGGACTCAATCTGATTTTTCTACACTTTTATAATATAATCAACAATTATATGTTGTTTCAACCAATATTTGAAAGATCAATTGAGCCAATTTAGTAAGCCATAAAACTGAAACATGCCTTATTAATCCATGAAGAGTTTGATATAAAAACATGCACAGGGAGAAACTTAAGATGATAATTGGCCCCTCACAAAAGTAACCTAAACCTGGATTTTCCAACTCCATGTCACCGAATCCTTCAAATTCGTTCGTTCTCTTCATTTTAACTTAGGACTACATTTATTGAATTAACATCTCAGCGGGAGAAGAAAAGGCAAAAATTGGTACATTCTAGCCCTACTTATTTCAGCCATGATCGAAAGCTTTTAAGAATTTTTCAAGAAATCGTATAACCGAAATTAACAATGAAATAAAAAATGACAAGGAAAACGAGACCCAGTAATCGAAGAAGTAAACTCCAAAGTAGAAGAAGTTGAGCACAGAAGTTGCGATGCTCCCCTTTTACTGGATTCCTTCAGTACAACTCCATCGCTCGGCAACCGTTGATAGGGTTTTAGATCTGTCGATGCAAGGGCCAAGGATGGTGCACGTCTATAACTAACCGCCAGTAGGGTATGGGTTAATGATTTTTGTGACGCAGGGAAGCAAACTTTGGTGGCAGAGGTGGCCAGACCTGGCCGCTGCTTCTCCGCGGTGATAGCCAAATTACGAGAACAATATGGATTTTCAAAAGCCCTTGACTTTTTAACTTTTCCAATTGATTCTAATTTTATACCATGTTTTACTATTTACTATGTTTGAGAAATGACTAATGCTTCCTCCTTTAAAAAACTGTGTAACGTGGTTGAGAAATGACTAATTTTATACATGTTTCACCAAAGGTGTAGCCACCTTTTATAAAAAGAAAAATGTTTTATTAGTGTATCTATCTAGACATTTAATCGTAGTGTCTTGATAACACCCCTTTTTTAAGACATTTAATTGGAAAATGTCATGATATGTATGTCATGAAAGCCTCCTTTTCTTGTAGTGAAGTTTCGAATCCACTTCTCTGATTTATTCCTTAATATTCAAAAAACTAATTAAGGTGAGATGGAATGAGTTATCATGGAGGAACATGGCCACAATTTGGAGGCTTCTTTCATGTTTTGATATGAATTGTACACTTGTGTACCAATCAAATACTCTGATGAAGTTTTGCTTTAAGAAGTTAGTATTTTTTAATTGATCGAATGATTCTGAATTTTAAGAAGCAAACACAATCAAATATACAACGGGATTGCGAAAATATTGGCAATAAAGAAGAACATCAACAAAGTATACAAAAGTTTGCACGCACTTACTTAGCCTAAATTCGAAGTATCATAACTTAATTGATTTTATTAAACTTTAGGCAATGAAGATTTCGACGACAGATGAGTTCTCAAGGGGAAGGGGGAAGAATGACGACAGTAGAAGAGGAAGGAAAAAGTCAAATTTTATTTATCGTAGGTAGAATTTTTTTTTTTATTCTCCTCCAATAATAAAAATTATGAGATGTAAATCCAAGTAGGCAAGTCACAAGGTGAGACGGGGAATGTGAGTTATTTAGGTGAATTTTCTATCATTATTTTTTTTAAAAAAATCTATTATGCTCAGGCAACCTGATGGGTCTCGGCCCAAGAACCAGGTGGGACTAGCCCAGAAATGATAGTACCCAAAAACGAAGAACATGTGTTGGGGAATGTTCATATGGAAATGTAAATTGAATTATTGGGCCAATGCACATCGAAGAGGGTCCATATTAGATTGAGTTAACGATTCATTCAAGATTGACAAAATCAAACTAAAGTCCAAAAGGCTAAAACCCGAGAAAGAAGAATGAAGAACCCTAAACACAGACAGTTGAGCTTCTGTTCATAGAACAATCCCCTCAAACGCCATTAGAGCAGGAACTGCTAGAATCATACGAAGATACAGAACAATCAATGGGTTGATTCTTTCCATAAACCCTTCCTTTCTTCGCTTCCTCCTATTAGGTTTCTTCTTCACACAGTCACACAGTCACACAGTCACACAGTCACACGTAGACTCCACACATTCAAAATGCCTAAACCCAGAACCTCCCAATTAGCCTCTCTTCGTACATTCCTTCGCTCATTTTCTTCCTCCTCTAGAGAATCCCGATTTCCCCTCTCCAAAATTTCCTCATTTAACTCTTCCTCCCAGCCTCCGCCGCCGCAGCCGCCGTCACAGCAGCTTCACCACCACCACCTCTTCACTCATCTGACCACCAAGAACCGATCTTGGGCGCGACCCTTTTCGCCTTTTTCGATTTCATCGAGGCCCATTTCCTCAGAAAGTGGCCGACTTTTGAAAGAGGAAGAATCAGAATCCTTTGCGAAGTCTCTTTCTGATGAGCTTATCAAGAACCCAGAAGCGGAATCACTGTCATTGTCGCAAAGGTTGGATCTGTCTTTCTCTCATGTGAAGATCACGCCTTCAATTGTTGCCAGCGCGCTCAATATTGTTGCCAGCACAGTCGATGGTTCCTCTGATGAAATTCTCCCTGGTGTTAGGAGCGTTGTGTTGGATTTTCTCAAATGGGTAAGTTCAAGACCTGGTTTTGATGTTGATGATGAGTTGTTATCTTATTTTGTGATTTATTTTGGGAGGAGGAGGGATTTTAAAGCCGCGTATGAGGTGCTAGTTCATGGGGTTGGGAAAACAGGGAAGAAGTGCTTTGAGTCGATTGTTGATAGGTTAGTTAGGGCTGGAAGGCCTCGTGAAGTTGTTGAATTGTTTAACATAATGGAGAAGAAATATGGGTGGACTAGGGATAAGGATTCTTTGAAGTTTATTGTTTCCAAACTTTGTGACTATGGTTTTGCTAAACCTGCTGAGAAAATGGTGAAAAGTTTGGCCAATGAGTTTTTCCCTGATAATTACATTTGTGATGCCTTGATCAAAGGGTGGTGTGTTGATGAGAAACTAGATGAGGTGAAAAGAGTGGCGGGAGAGATGTATAGGGGTGGATTTGAGCTCGGTACTGGAGCCTATAATGCAATCCTGGATTGTGTTTGTCGGCTTTGTAGGAGGAAGGATCCATTTCTGTTGCTACCCGAAGCAGAAAAAGTACTGGTACAAATGGAAGAAATGGGGGTCCCTCGAGATGTGGAGACCTTCAATGTATTGATTAGTCACTTGTGTAAGATTAGGAAGACAACTGATGCTGTAAGTTTGTTTCACAGGATGGGCGAGTGGGGTTGTTATCCCAACAAAACGACGTTCCTTTTACTAATTAGGAGTTTATATCAAGCAGCCCGGGTTGGGGAGGGTGATGAATTTATAGACAGAATGAAATCTGCAGGATACGGTGATGCACTTAATAGGAAGGAATATTATGGTTTCTTAAAAATTTTGTGCGGCATAGAGAGGATCGATCATGCCATGAGCATCTTCGCAATGATGAAAGAAGATGGCCGTGAACCAGGAGTTATGACTTATGATTTGTTGATTGGCAAATTGTTTGCTCATGGAAGATCGGATAAAGCAAATGCGCTTTACAAGGAAGCCGAGAGCAACGGGCTCCCAATTGAACAGAAAACTTATAAGTTGGATCCTAGGTTTGCTAAGAAGAAACCTATTGCTGTTAAGAAAGAAAAGAAGAGGGAAACATTGCCCGAAAAGATGGCTCGGAAGAGGACACGGCTTAAGAAAATTAGACTTAGTTATGTTAAGAAGCCAAAGAGAACCATGCGTGCAATGTAAACGTATAAGAAGCCATGACTATATTTGCAAGTGGTTCTAGCAATTTTTTGAGTTTCATATACCATTTCTTAGCTTTTATCATCAGTTTTGTTTTGGCATAAATGTTGGCCACTTGAAATTAGCCATCTTGTAAACTTAATGAACAGGATTCAATTGTCCAGCTACTGACAGATTACTTCTTTATAGGAAAGCTGCAGAATTGAATCTGTTGTAGAATAAAGCTGATGACAGTATTCCATTTGCTGACTCTACATATGGAACATTTCAGGTGTTTATTTGTTGTCATCTTGTTTTCCTTCTTACTGTCATATAATCTTGGAAGTTTTCAATCTTCAGGTTTCTCATGGCATGAATATGTTATCTACCCACCTTATGCCAACTTAGTTATTCATTTCATTTTAACTTTTACATCTTAAGTACAACATTAGTTTCCAGATCCATTTTCTTATAGATCTCTAACAATAAAAGTACGTTCGAAATACTAGATTTGAAGAAGAGATCTAGTAAGCGAAATTAATTAACGTTATGGCGGAGAATGTGATGCATAAGTTTTTACAGGAAATAACTAGCTAGTCAAGGCTAGCTTATATGAACACTCGCCATTTGCAACCTATAGTGCGACCAGACACGCTCATTCTCGAAGACCAAAATTGGCCACTTGGGTAATTTCGCTTCATCATGATCATGGCCGTGGCTGTGCTGTTGGCATCTTCACTCTTTTTTCATACAGCTTCATTGACTGCAAAAGCACAAGATCGAAATCCATGCTGCGATAAGTGCGAGATACTCTACCAATCATGTGACCGGAATTGTCTAAACGATTCCGGTTCAAGCAACTCATCGTGCACGCTCAGTTGCGCGACAACATTTGGGCGGTTGTGCACTGAGAGGTGTGGTGGCGGATGTCAAGTTGCTCTGAAAGGACCAAGTCCGTGCGCATTTACTGCGAGGAAATCTTCAAGTCGTGTTACGGGGATTGTTTGATAATGTCGGGCGACAAACATTTTTGCGTGAATCGGTGCTTGCCAAGTACAGTGGGATGTGCGGTTTATAAATGCGGTAGGTAGTTGTGGCGGAGTGAAGAAAGGATCAAGTCCGTGTTGCGATAATGGTGAGAAACCATTCCAATCGTGTAACCAGGGCTGTTTGCAGAAGACGCCGGCTGTGCATCGCTGGGCAGTGCTGGCCAAAGTTAAAGCGATGTGCAAACCGGAAATGCGGTGGTTGTGACATGGGACCTTAACTATGACATTCCCCCAAAAAGGAACTGGAAAGGGGAAGAAAATGCTTTTTGCGGCAAACCTTCCTTTTGTTGACAGTTTGCATTTCTTTCTCATGAGATACAGAATTCCTAACGGATTCCACATACTCCCTCCGTCCCAACATTATTGTCTAGTTTGGATTTTCATTTTTAGTTCAAATTGTACTAAAAGTAAAATCTCAAACTGAACAATAATTTTGGAACTGAGGGAGTACTACATTTGAATAGATGGATTCCCAGTGGAATAGTCGGACTTCCTTTTTTTTTTTTAATTTTTTATTTTTAAAGTAAAGGACTTCTTTCTGATGTCGAGGTTATGTGGAACCATTTTTTTTTCTTTTTTAAAAATTCAAGACAAGGCTTCTTGCTGCTGTTTCAAGACAAGGTTTGGTGTCACCAAATTATCAAACTAACTTCGTTATAGTGAAAGCAAAACTGGATGCAAACCCAATGGCTAGCAAGGGAGAGAGTACTTATATGGAGCACATAAGTTTTATAATGTAATTCTTGCAACCTATTCACAGGTGAGAGCAATGCATAGAGTTTCTATTGGAGTGGTCTTAAACTTGAAAGAAGTAAGAAACAACCTGATGACAAGAAATCGAATGAACTCAAATAACGGCTGGACACAACCTCATCTTGCTTGCATTTCGCAAACTTCCAAGCTGCATTCAGAATAAACCTTCAGTACCAACCTATGGAGTCTCCTTCCAGAAACGTATTGACCTATCAGTCCCACAAGAAACAAAAGTGGCCTCTGTCGGTGAGTGCTCCAGCCAACGAGGGGCGCCAACATGATTTGATGGCCATCGAGCCACTTTCTCTGCTGTCAGTGCATCCCAGATGACAATCTACAAAAGTTTGACAAGGTAATGGTAAATACAGGTTTTGACTGCAATAAAACTGCAGCAATAAACAAATTAGACTAACCTCATTGCTGGGTTCATCAATGGACAATATAAATTCTTCGGTGTCATTAAAAACAGCCTGCAACAAAGAAAGAGAAGAAAGAATGGGGTCAATATGAAAATCATACATAGGACTTCATAGCATGAACAGAAGAAACAAGAATGCAACTACAACTTCAATGTCCCAACAAAAACATGTGTCAGAAATAAGAAAGTGGCATCATTTTTAACTGTGCAAAATATCTTCTTCAACTCTTCCTAAACAACAAAATTTAAAGACAAAAACACCAAAATGCTAACATTTCGCTAACTGAGGTTTTTGCTCCAAACAACTATTTTTACCCTTTACCTAAGCAAAAGTAACTCTTCTCTGAAATTCATCCATTTATCTGTTAATCATATGCAGATCAGGTAAATTGGAAAATGCCCTGTTGCAAATTCCTAACCAGTTCCAGGACACCAAAAAATAGGGTGCGAAACTCTTTCAGCTAATAGAGATGATTCGCCTAATCATGAGCAACAACATATTAATTGAGTCCACATCAATTTCCATCACAGGGCAACAAATTCTTTAGTATAGGAAAAAACATTTACTTTGAAAAGAGATAACAATTTAGAAAAGATAGCAGTGCCAGCATGTACCTGGCACCGTAGCTGAGTATGTATTGCCCCAAGATACTGCTTAACCAATCTTCCAGTACCGACTTCCCAGAGCTTCACAGAAGAGTCTTTCCCACAAGATAGAATATACCTAACAATGAACAAATTCAGAAGGCCCATATATAAAAGTATCAATATTTCAAGGACATGTGGAAGCAATGCACTTCTCGCAGAAAATTTACTTTGGACAAAATAATATAACAAATAAATGCACCAATATGCATGTTTAACGCAATAGATGGACATGGAGGAGGGTCTAATGCAAGCCCAAGACATTTTTTTCAGATAAATTTCTTGCTCTATAAGTAGACACCTCACATACTGAAGAACATTACAACAAGCAGCGTTTCATGTGCACATGGTCTCAATAAATTTAATAAGGTAGAATAGTAAGTCAATTGAGTTTCATGTTATTTCTGTCTTCATTGACATGTATTCAGTTTCTTATCATAACAGAATTCTGAGAGTTGCAGCGATTACTAACAACAATATTAGCGTTTTTACAATATGAAAGCAAATAAAAGCCAATAACTTTACATACCTTTGGTCCCTTGTAAAACATGCGCTAGTCACTTCTGCAGCTCCATGAGCACCAGCAATTGTGCGGACACAACTGGCACTGACTCCATCCCACAACCTAATAGCTCCGTCTTTGGATGCAGAAACGTACAACGCCCCAGTAGTTGAATACCTCACCTACATTCAATAATACATTGTGGAAACCTCCATATTATTTGTTTCATAATCAACATAAAATCCAACATTAAACAAGCAAAGGATCAGCTGTACCTGATTTATAGCTCCACTAACACCAGTATCTGGGAAAGTTGCAGAAAGATAACACTGGAAAGTATTAACGTCATATAAATGTGGAATTGGATGATCAGTTCCTGTAATCGATTTAAACATATTATTGTACCAAGAAAAGGGTGTGGAGTTTCACAAGAAAGAAATTTGAAACATGAATGGACCATTTTAATCATTACCAAGAATGGAATTAGGGTCTCAACTCTAAAGAGTCAAGCCTACTCTATACAAATAATAATTGTAAGATATTACACAGTTGCCTCCATAAATTTTGACCGACACTTTAAATACTGATCAAGTATATTAAAAGAGACAAACAAGAAGTGATTACAGAACCTGGCACAAAGTAGATGAAGGTGATTTAGCTTGAATCGAATAACAGTACAAAACATGGTATGCATAAAGTGTTCATATGCGCACTGGGAGCAAGATGAGTATAGATTGTACCGGAAAGAAAGATACTACAGTGTGAACTGACCTGCCAAAACGAAATCTCCAGAAGGGTGGAAAGACACTGACCGTACAATGTGAGTATCCTGACAAATTTGATCAGGTAAAAGATGAAGAGTATCCGCAAACAACGTACACAGCTACAATGTTTCTACCTCACAGGAAAGAATCAAAAAAACTTAGAAGCAAGATGAGAAACCTGAATAACTCGGAAAGCTTTCTTTGCCATAGTCTTTGAAAAATCAAAGAACCTGTACCAAAAAAAAAAAGCATTAAATACAGAAATAAAAGGCAAACATTTATAAAAGACAAACGATATGCAATCAGACTATAACCAATTGCAGATTTTATGAATCATTATCGTTAAAAGGAAATGAAGAAACCTCAAGAAAGGTCATTAATAACATACTTAATTGTGTGATCCTTTGCCCCAGAAATGAGAACCGTATTTTGAGGATGAAAATCCAAGTCATTTATAGGCTGCATCATCAAGATAGCATGCAGCAACATCAGCAAAAATCATATCAAACACCTCAAAAATTGTATGCAAAGTACAAAAATTAGTGTCCATAAGAGCTAAAAAAAAAAAGAAGTAAAAATAGTGTCCGTATGAGCTTAAAATCCCTAGGAATTTTATTTAGTGCAATTCCAGAACACATTTTGCTAGCAATGAGAAGGAAAGAAACTTAAAAGTCAAATCTGCTTTTCAATGCTCTCATAAACTTTAAGAACTTTCAATAAAACTTATCGGAGAAAAAGTTAACGAAAACAGAAGAATGATTGATTTCTCAAAGAACAATGAAAACGAAAATCACATTAAACAAGCCTAAATATCTTGTTTTATGTAAATTTACCAGAATAATGACAAAATTTAGAGACTTACTTGTAGGTGATCATATAATGTCCTTATAACAGGCCGCACAGAGCCATCTCTAGTATCTGATAGCATCATCTGCTTAATTTTAGATACCTGCAAAAAGCGAAAATAAAAGAAAATATTAAATAGCATATTATCTAGAAAGGATTGGGGAGAAAAACGTCATAATTGAATAATAAATAAAGTAAAGCACCTCAAAGAGCTTTATAGATGTGTCAGCACTTCCAGTTGCAAGGAAACTTCCATCAGGACTAAATCTTGCGCATCTTGCTACATTCTGTGCCAAGAAAAATTTTCCCGCATAAGAAAGCTTGATCTAAGCTCTTACGTTTGCATTCCTTGAAACGCACACCATATATGCATGTTTCACGGAGATAAAAGGGTACCTTATGCTCTGATATATGTCTTGTTTCATGCTTTGCGAAACTTTTTGATGATCCTTTAGTGTCCAGCATGGCACTGTACGTAAATTCACAAAAAGAAGCATGAAAAGATACAATCATACACAATCTGCTTAACTTCTATCGCCTAACAATTTCAAACAGAAATCATACAGAATATTACAAAAAACCAAGATGATAGATTAAAACATTCGTTAGACATAAAAACACCAAAGTTCTATCCCATATCTAGTTTCCGGAACTATTTTAAACCAAATCCTTACTCAAAACTAGCATTAAATTTATCTTTGAACATTGATCAGATGTGACGGAAAAGCAATTAGCATTAAATTTTTCTTTAAATTTAATGAAAAAAGCAATATTCCACGAGGGTGGCATTTAGCATTAAATCTTTTTTCTTTAAAGCACGTAACCAATTAATGCTTCCAATTATCTGATCAAGTATTCAAGTTCCAGCAATAATTTCCAGCCATCGTATGCTCTGTTAACAGGTTAGAGACATTTTAATACGAAATGAGTATCAAATTAACAAAATCACAAAAAATAGTGCAGTTTGATAGATTTATGTATATCACATATCATACTACCAATCATAAGAATAAATCATAATGACAACAAAAGATTACCTGAAGTCAAGAGCAGTAGCACGAGGAGCTGGTATTGAACCATATCCTGTATGTATACTCGAATCGAACAATGCAGCTGAAGGAACACCTCTTAATATTTCATCCTTCTCCACTGCAAGGCCCTGTTAACCTCTTAGAAAGCCCACAAATCCATTTTCCTTGGCTAGACAATGAAAGTAGAGACTAATCTACGCAGACCAAACAAAGCCAATTCAGATCTGAGACCTTACCGAAAAATACGAACCTTAGCCACCAAGTCAAGAAGCTTGTTAGGAGGAGCTTCAACATTCAGTGGGGTCATAGTAGCTGAAGCAACAGCACTTGCAGCCTGTAAAATGAAGAAGGCTGGTTTGAGAATCACATACAACTTTCTCTGTAGCAATTAAAACCCCAAGATGTAGAAGAACAATTGTATTAATGAAATGCTTTTTCGTTTGCAATTCAAAACAAAGGGAAGGAGAGCCTTCACTTAACAGAACAAACTGTTTCTTGTGAAGTCTAATCGCAAGTTCAAGCCTTAATGGGCCAATCTTTATCCGGAGATTGCACATGCGGGAGCTTCTAAACAGTCGGATGTCCTTTGCAATTTAAAATCTAGAATTACTTGAGCTCAATCCCCAAAGACTAACTTTATGGATAGTGAAATCAGCAACTTAAGACTCTTTGAACTAATTGCTCGATGACCTATCAATCCCCTAAATTTCCGAAAAAATGCATAGTTAGGTGGTTGATCAATGACGCCAGCTCCAACTGTTCACCATCGCCAAGGCTTCAAAATTACTTCTTTCTTTAAAATAGTTATCCATAAGGATCAGCTCCATACATTAAACTCAAGTCCCACAGACAAAAACAACGAAAAAATGTATTTTCTTTTCAAAACACCTCAACCTAAAATCAACTTTCAAGAACCCTTAAATCTATGCCAAATGAAATTACTCCAGCCCAGTTAAGGAAAATTTCAAAGAATAACATTGCACTGAAGATAGCCCATTTAATCTTTATTTCAAACAAAGGGTGAAAAAGCAGAAAAAGGGGGGAAAAGGGGAAAACCTGATTGAGATTGTTGTCACGAAGATGGGCAACAATCAATGAATTGACCTGCCTATACAGCTTGCCGTCCTGCAGCGTCTGCTCCAATCTGTTATTATCCATTTCAGTCTGAATTCGCTTACTTCCCGAGAATCACTTCCTAAGCGGAGTTATTTGTGTCAAACTGTCGATTCTGGACTGGAAGAACTAAGCAGCGAGGCCCCCAGCTTGGGGGAGTAAGGGAGGAGGAAAGCGAGGGAAATAAATGAAAATGAAAATAATAAAAATAAATAAAAGGGTAATTACATTGTTCATCCCTCCACTTTCAACAAGTACAGCTGATGAAAAGTCAAAATATACTAATTGATACACTTCAGTTGCAAAATTCGCCTTGTAAAATACATGTTTCACTTTTTCCTTTTTTTTTTTTTTTCATTCCAAATGTTATCTAATGCGAACTCAGTTATTATTTTAAGAGAAAGGGACATTATCTGCTGTTCTCTCAACCTTGTTAAAACCCATCTTTTAAGTCAAATGAAATTTTACGAACAAGTTAATAGTTACCGAAACTTTTGTTCATAACAAAATTTCTCGTACTTTATCCTGAATTAAAATCACCGCTATTGACGATATTATCGGATATTGTATTATCTAAGTGACAATATTATATATAACTATACACATATCTTGTCTCCTATTTAAAAATTCGTCTAATTATCATTATTTTTTATTTTTTTATTTTTTTGTAAAACAAGCGAAAAACAAAATTGTATGAAGTTCTTAAACTTTAAGGTACTAATTGAGAGATTTTCCATTTCTGTAAACGAAATGGGATATAGTATGAAGTTGAGGGATATTGAAGTGATTTAAAACAGTGGTTTCTATCACGCCTTCAGCAGATCCAACTGTAACACTTTACTCCGTTTCTTTTATGACGATGACGGCGCCTTCCATTTCTGTTATCCGGTTAAAAGCGACGCCGTTGCCGTCACCCTTTCCTCCGCTCTCCTCCACTCACCGCCGCGGAGTTCGCTGCTTCTTCACCATTCCGGTCGCTTCCTCGGTCCGCCGGCAACCACAACGGCAAAAGCAATATGAGTCCAGGAAGGCCAAACAATCGGATAAAAGACTTCTCAAAGTTCGCGAATCCGTTAAGCAGCTCGCTGAAGCTCCGGCTCCCGCGCTCTCGCCGGATGATATGTCTCCTCGGCTCTCGGAAACTCAAGCTATCGGCTTAGTTGCCGCTTCGCAAGCCAACTTCATGCGCGTGATTGTCCAAATTCTTCCCCCAGAACAAGAAGAAGAGGAAGAACATTCTGGAAACGTTGAATCGGCGGCGGATGAGGGGAACACAAAGTCTGATTCCGTCGTCAGAGGTTGGATTGGGATGGAATTGTTGTGCGTGGTGAAGGCGGTGTTGAAGAAGATAAAGAGGAGAGTGTTGGTCGGGGACAGGGTTTTGGTAGGGTCCATCGATTGGGTGGATAGGAGGGGTATGATTGAGGATGTTTTTGAGAGAGATTCTGAGACCGGGGATCCTCCGGTGGCAAATGTGGATCATTTGGTGGTTATGTTCTCCATGGACAAGCCCAAACCCGAGGCCAGTGGTTTGAATAGATTCTTGGTGGAAGCTGAATCAACTGGCATTCCTTTCACCATTGCATTCAACAAATGCGAACTCGTCGATCAACAGGTCTTCAAGAACTTAATCTCAACTCATGCATACTAATCTATTTCCAATTTGATGTTACTGATAACCTGGTAAATTTCATAGTGATTAATGAGGAAAAAACCACAGTGACTAGCCTAGTGCCATTTCGACTATATTTATACACTCTATTGAGTATCCATTTTTGTCTGCTATTATTGCCTCTCAGGTAATGATAGAAAATTGATGGTGAAATTGGCATCGTTCATAATGGCTTAGTGGAGATTGATGGCGAAATTCGCGTAGTTCATTAACGATAGAGTAGAAAAGTTGTAGGCGGTTGGCTTATGTATGTATTACTTTACTCTTGAGAATTTTATTATGTCTACCTGCGCTTCCAATGATATACAGTTGCGGTATCGATCTCTCACTAGTCACTATAACTGTAGGTGTGAATCATCCTTGTCTATTTGCATTCACACAGCTGCAATCACATGGCTTCCTTCCCAACTTTGCATTTCGGGATGGGGTTTTGTTGGCCGACTTAATGAACCTTATATGGATCCATCCAGTGTTACTAAATGAACCCAAATTGGTGTTTCTGTAATGATTTCTTTTACTCCCATCTGGGTGGTAGTGTCTGCATGTAATTTGTTGGACTGAGTTACTGATATGAACAAAATCTTTTGCAGACGTTGTTAACTTGGAAATCCAGGCTTCAGAGTTGGGGCTATGAGCCGGTATTCTGCAGTGTCGAATCAAACCATGGACTTGATGTGTTACATGCTAACTTGAGAGGAAAGACATCTGTTATTATTGGTCCAAGCGGAGTCGGAAAATCGAGTTTGATTAATGCTCTGAGGAACAATAAGGAATTTGTGGGTACTGCTGAACAAGATAACTGGTTTGATCCCGTGAGTTCTTCATCGGTTTTGCATTTTTTGTTTGTTGCTTCATCCAGATTGTTCACAATACCTTAATCTCTTTCTTCTAGATTTTGGGCAGTAATTGGTTGGATGAGCAACGTGTTGCAGAGGTATCAACAAGAAGTGGGAGAGGCAAGCACACTACTAGACATGTTTCCTTGCTTCCGTTGCTCGGTGGGGGTTATCTTGCTGATACTCCTGGATATAACCAGCCTAATTTGATGAAAGTGACAAAGGATTCCCTTGCACAACATTTTCCTGAGGTGGTTTTGATTTCTCTGCTTTCCTGTATTTATTTATTTATTTATTTATTTTTTTTTTACCTTCAGTTGGATTGAGATATCAGGATAAAAGAGGTCCGGATTTGAAGATGAATTGGCAACAGTGGGTCTTAACAATTCTTTATTTTGTCAGATACGAAAAATGCTCAAGGAGAAAGAACCTTCCAAATGTTCATTCAATGATTGTTCACACCTTGGAGAACAGGGCTGCGTGGTGAGTGGAGATTGGGAGAGATACGCTTATTACCTTGAATTATTCGATGAGATCAAACTTAGGGAGGAATTTCAACTAAGGACACTAGGAACTAAGAGAGAAGGTGATGTGAGGTATGTTTATTTTTGGAATTGCAACTTTATAAACGTCTCTGTTTCACTATTCTGTATGTATTTTATGTTCTGTGGCATTGATGTCGTTGATAATCGATCAAAACAAGAAGGTACTCAAACTGTGTTTTAAAACCAACATTTTCACCTCTGGTTCCCTATGAGAATTGCATAAAGTGTAGGAACATTTAAGTGTATCCCTATACTGCTATATGTCTGTTTAACAACCAATACAACACCATTTGTTTGAAGAGAAAACTTATGAAATTCAAATGAATAGTACTTTCGGTCTATGTATAGTTACGGTTTACTTAACTGATTCTTGTAGAAACATTTAATTTGAGCCCTATTCTGCTATTTCTGTCAGGGGTGGTAAGTTACAAACCAGTTTAACACCAGTTGTTTGAAGAGAAAACTTATAAAATGCGAAACACTGATTCGTAGTTCCGGTTCATGGAGCTTTACTGTTTACGTTACTGATTCTTGTGGTTGATATCAGTTTACTGTAACACAAACCATCTGCAAGTCCAGCTGGCTCATATCTCTCTCTTTCTGTTTTTTCTTTTTACAAATATCTAAGCTCTTATTTCAGATACAAGGTGGGAGGCAAAGGTATCAAGCAAGCAGAACCACTTTTGGAACCCAAGAAGCATAGAAGGCAATCACGCAAGAGTATGAATCAGTCAATATCAGATGAACTAGATGAATACTTTGAGGATAAAGAAAACAGAGTTGAAGACGAAGATCCATTTCTGAGGGCTATGAGGCAAGAAAATCAGTGAGGATACCTTGTCGTTATCTACCGTAAATAACTTATTAAGCTTTTAGGTTAGGAAGGATCAAGTTGTCATCAATTACTCACGAACATACATTTTGTTTCTGCCATAGTTTTATCTTTCATCATGGAGGGAACTTGACATTTGTACATTTAATGGCAGAAGAAGAGAGAAGAAAGACTGTAGATAGAGAAAGAGAGAACTGCGATTGTAAATTGTCTAGGCAGAACTTATGTCCGCTAGGCCATTTCTAACCAGGTCATGTAAAGTTTTGTTAATGAATCATGGTAGCTTAACACAAGAAAATCCTTTACTTTCCCTATCAATTTTTACACCGAAGAAAAAGTGACTCTAGTTTCATCAGACACTAGCAGCTTCAATCCTTGATTATGAATTACCAATATGCAGTTATCTAGTCCAAAGACAAAAGGAAAGACCAAGGCAAAAACCAGGTCACCTTTGGAGAGAGTAAACATAACCATTCCCATATAGTCATCCTTATAGCAGAACTTTAAGGATGGAGCTAATAGTTAGTGGTCCGAGCGACAAGTGATTGAAGATGGGCGAACAGACATATTAGCTGCAGCTATATTCTTATTTTAGTGCAGTAAGTACTAGAACCTAATTTGTTGCTAACACTTTTGTTGAGTTTTATAATTTTATTATTTTATTCTAATTATTATCGTATCTGGTTGCAAAATATTATAGAAGAAGAAGATAGGTGACCTCAAGGATATTTTTGGGAAATGCAATCACGATTTGCCCTACTATTTTAGTTCGGGCAAAATTACTAGCCAATATTAATTAATGTACTAGAGTCAGCTAGGTTGCGCGCGTTCCAAAAACAGACGAAAAATACAGCCGACAAAGAGTTTATCTTCCACAGTTCCTGAAGACATTTATTACTTTTCCTGTAATCAATCATGAAGAAAGCCTGCTCAGTGTATCCCGAAGAGAAGATGATTCTGAAGCGAAAAAGAGCAGAACCTGAGACTAAAAAGACAGCACGGAGAAGACTGGTGCGACCATCCCCTCCGGAGGCGTGTTTTCCACTGTTAAATCTACCATCCGAATTGCTTTGGGAGATTCTGATAAGGGTTCGGGGTAAAGGTTTAGAAAGGTGCAAATCCGTTTGCAAGTCCTGGCGATCAATAATCAAAAGCCCTGAATTCTGGGGACTTTACCGGAATCACAATCAACCAGGCCTGATACTCTGCGTCCCACAACAAATCAAATTCGAAACAGTAAGAAACCAGGTCGTTAACCAGCAAAGAATGTTCGGTTTCTTTTACTGTCCAATTTCCTCTCCGCCGCATACAGAGCCGAAAACACAATTCAATTGTCTGAACGAGTTAGGACTCGACCCTGTTTCTGGTCAGATGACCCAAGTGGTGAACGGTCTGGTATGTGTTTGGAAACAGTTTAAACTCTTGACTGTGTACAACGTTTGTACAGGACAAGGGATGCTGTTTAACAACACTGCCCTTTGTTCTCGAAATCATCCCGACAAATCGAAGTTTTATCTCGGGTGTGATCCAACTGAGAAAGCCTACAAATTGTTGAAATTGGTTGCCCCCAGTAGGCATAGGTTAGAAGCATTTCTTATGACTTTGAGACCATCGAATTCAGAATCGAAATGGTGGCAACTAGAAAGATGTGCCCTCCCTGGATTTCCATTTAGGACTCAAGCAACATCATTCTCATCATCGAGGAAAGGGGTCTTGTATTGGTTCTACTGGAAAGAATCATTTGTAAGATGTTTAAATCTCAAGGTCGCGAGGTTTGGGAAAGGGAAGCTTCCGATTGAGGACGACACGTTTGAGGCATACCGTAGGGAATGGAAACTCGCTGAATCCATGGGGCATTTGGTTCTCTGGTTATTTCCAAGTAAAGAAGTTGTTGATTACGATATCAATATTTTTGGTCCCCAAGATTTTATGCTCTTTGTATTAGAAAAAGGTAGTTGGAATAAGCAAGTTATCAAGTTGCCTAAAGAACTTAATCGGGCACATACGGTCGTGGTCGGGAATCTACCAACCGGCGAGATGCTTCTGATGAATCGTGTTGTTGAGAAAGGTCGGAACAACCATTATTACACGCCAGTTTATTCATATGATCATCGAGAAAATAAGTTTGAGCGGGTTTTGGTTGGAAAGCTCCCAGGAAAACACAGCGCTTATCTCCACCATTATGATGGTAACAATTCAAGAGGTGGTTTGAGTGAGGATTCTGAATTTCGGTCTGCACAGTTTTTTCATGAAACCGTTTCGTTTTTCCATTACAATAATCTTCATCGATCATTGGATGATGTGCTTCGTGGTCGGTAGGAATCTCATGGCGTCTTTTTTCATTTTTTTGGTATATTACGCACTTTGTCCGAACTTATTGCTCCTACTAATCCGGATTCGAGTCGGGTAGGTTTCTTTTGAGAGGCAAAACTCCCCGAACAAGTATTTTAACCACTGCTGCATACCTATGTCCGGATTCATTTTTTTATTTTATTTTATTTGCATTCATATCAACTTTTGGTCTGACAACACCTAGAATTTCATGGCTTCTTTTTTCAATTTTTATTTTTATTTGTATTCATATCAACTTTTGGTCTGACAACACCTTCATCAACAGCAATGTAGTTGTTTATATATGTAGTTGTTTGAAGTTTTTTTTTACAGTTCTTTTACGTTGGGAGTTGTAAATTAAAGATGTAGTGAAAATTGGAGGAAAATGGAAAAAAAAAAAAACATATGTCTCAAGAATTCGATCCAAACACAAGGAAGCATCCCACACCAACCCATATTCCTCTTCACAAGTCCCAGAAATTAATATAGATTTCAAGGGGCACTTGATAATCCCAAATCTACCAGTTTCTCTATACAATTCATTTCATACAAAATCATCACATAATTTCCGTCACAATCTTCTTCAAATATAGTTTTTTTTAATCTTATGTATGATTAAACACCATAAAAATAAACATCAAAGAACTGAGATCCTAAAAAATAAAAAAATAAAAATGAAGAAGTATATATGAAATTATCATCTAATATATAGAGTATACAAAAATGATAATTAAGGCATGGAAGGACCAGCCTTTACATTTTGAGGAGGGCTGTGAAAACAATTAAGACGACATAAATCTCTTCCAAACCAACACGGAGTATGTTTGTAGCCACTGAATTCACAACACCATACGTCCTTCCCATCTACTGTCTCTTCCTTACAAAAATCAAGATCTATGTTCTTCTCTAGAGTTCCAGTAATCTTACGGTTCCAAGATCCATCATGATCAACACCTGTTCTAAAATCAAAAGAAAAAGAAAAGTTTTTAAATAGTGCAGTATAAAATTGATACCATATTATCCCAAAATCTGTGTATACGTGTTAATTGTAATTACTTCATTTAACAAACCTAACTTTTTTTTTTTTTCAAAAATTCACCCCAGTGGACTCCACTTAAATGTGAATAAAACCCCCCTTATAATCCTTGGTGAGAATCGAACCCTGATCTATCACCAGGAAAGAGACCAATCTAACCACTAAGCTGTTATTCAATTCTCACTTGTCTATCACCAGGAAAGACAACAATCTAATCACTAATCTGTCATTCAATTCTCACCTGACTCTTTTCCTATGACATAAAATTGATAACCTCTACTACTTACATTCATGCATAGTGCGAATGTTTAGGGTTACTAAACAAAAAAAAAAAGCATATCATCAATCTAGTTGTCGTCATCATGAGGAAGAAACTGTTTCTTTATGTTCTAGAGGTTGAATCCTTTGAAGTTTGAAGAACAAATATATAGACAAGAGACTGGTAATTTTGTCACTATCATAAATGAAATTTGGAAATTCACTTTCAAGATCCTCCTAATTAATTTATACATAAATGCTCTTGTTTTTACATTGATTAATATTGCAATTTAGTGAGGGGCCATTTATTAGGAGCAACATGTGCACCTAAAATTGTGCATTTGTTTCCATTTTTAAGAGTATGGTCCCGTTAAAATTTAACCAATAAGAAAGTGACACATCAACAAAACATTAAATTTGCCTAATTTTTAATTTTTTTGTGACCTGCTGATCAAGTAAACTTACCATAACATCAGGTAAACTTACCAAAATTTTAAAAAATAAATAATTTTTGAAAATCTCAACATTTAAAATAACAAAATCACCACTAATTAATAATTAAGTTTCCTTTTTCATATTATATATCGTACAAATATTTATAAATGATTGCACATTAGTTTATAAAACATTGCTCCTAATTAATTGATAATTAACTGCATCATCTGTTATTTCCATTTATTTTTATAGTAAGTTAATAATAGATATCCAAACATTTCATTTTTGAAGATGATATTGCACATTCAAGAAAAATACATTGCTCATTCACTTTTAAACAATTGCATTATACAAAACTTACCATAATTCTTAATTAATTTTTTTGAAATTGCAAAAAAAACACATGTGTAATTGTACATTTGCTTATTAAAAATTGCACCTATATTTATACATGATTGCACATTGGCACATAAAACATTGCACCATCTCTTATATACGTTTTTTTTATTATTTATAATTTTTCTTATAAGCCTTACTGAGTGAGTATTTACATTTATTTTGAGTAGTCGAATTTTATTATATCTAAATTTAGTAAGGCCAAGTACTATTTCCCATTTTATTTTTTTCTTAATGTTAATTATAATAGACATACAATGATTGCACCTTTGAGCATGCTATTGCAAATTCAAGAAAATCAAGTTGCACATTCACTTACAAATAATTGCACCATACCAAAAATTACTATAAATTTCAATTAATTTTATTGATTGTACTTTTGCTTATTAAAAATTATACATTGCACATAGATTGATACATAATTGCACACCGTCTGAAGAAATGGTACTACCTCTTATATAAGCTTTTTTTTTTTTTTTTGCACACATTAGAATTGATTTTAGTATATTAATAGATACATAAACATTACACATTTATAGAAAAAGTAAGGTACATTATATAACTAAGAATTGCACCTTTTGTTATAATGTATCGTATTCTTAATAGAAAAAAATTTTGCACCCTAAATAAAACGTATTGTGCCCTTAATTACAAAATATTGCTCGTTGAAGAAACGATATGCGTTGATTATAATGAAAGAGAAGAATGTTAAAACACGTCGCATGATAAAAAAAAAAAAAACAAAAGAAGGAAAGTACACTGCTCAATGCTCACGTAAATTGAACTAGGGAAATTGTCTAATCTGATCATGCTTTATGAATTATTATAATCTCTTGATGAGTTATTATTTCTGATTGAAAAAAAAGGAATACCTATCTTCTTCTTTTTTTCTTTGTTGAGAAACATTTGCTTTTGGATAGGAAAAAAAACATCCAGCGAGAGAGATTAAAAAATAATAATAAGAGAGAGGAGAGAAAAAATGTAGTGTAACTTATTTCTTTCGTAACCTATAATGAGAGAGAGAAGAAGATTCCCAATTAAATAATATATCATAAACATTCTTCTTTTGGTTGCCGATTGCCTATAAAATGAATTTTTATTTTTTTATTCCTTTAATTCAAACTAGTGTGTGTCCTGCGCTTTACGCGGTTTTGTCAATATTGAAAATTTATATTTTAAAAGAATTGATTAGATAATATAGTAACAAATATACCGTCCTTATTCTCTTAAAAAAATGTAGTTACTAATATTTCTTAAAACTATAATATTTTTTGATTAATCAGTTTTAGATCAAAATGAAAGGTATTGATATTATTTATTAGAGGTATATTTGTAAGATCTGGTAAAAAATATTACAACAAAGATTTTTAAAAGTTGTATAATAAAAATTGTCACCACTAACTAATGTTATGTTTGGTTTAAAAAATATATTTAAAAAATGCGTAAATTATGTCTAGATGTATATGGCCTATTTTTATAGGCAAGTGGCCTTTGAGGATTAGATGTAGTTCTAATAAAATATATGACACGATTAATCGTCCTTGAAAATGTAAAATCGATAAACTTGAAAACTAAATAGCACACAAATGAAACTTTAAGGGCCAAAATGACAATAGGTTGAAAGTTTAAACTCGTAAATGAAAGGACTTTTGAAGTCGGGAGTTTCTCAGCAATTTTCAAAAATATTCATTTTCAAACTCACAATCAGGAATTTGTAATATCTGTAAAAAACTTATATACTCCCTCCGTTCCACAAAAATAGTCTAGTTTGAAACTGTACAACTTTTTTAATTTGGTCAACACAACAAATGTACAACTCATTTCATTCCCCTAATTTCTACTAATGCCCCTTCTAGTTATTTCTATAAAAGTTAACTACATATGTATTTATTTTACAACTTAAAATTGATCAAAATTTTTATCTCAAAAAATATTGACAATAGATCTTGATGGAAAGATCTCGTTAGTTAGATTAATTTGATATATAACACATTTTTTAATTATTTATGTATTAAAAGATATAATCATTTGAAAAAATAAGAGAAAACTAAAAAAAAATGAAAATCAAAGGAAATGGACCTTGTTTTTGATACCACTACTCTTTTGGATTTTTGAGTCATTTCAATTCAATGAATTTTGACTTTTGTTAAACTGGACATTTTTTTAGTACAAGATTTTTTTTATTAAATTGGATTATTTTTGTGGGACAGAGGGAGTAGTAAATAATTTATTAACTGTTTACAAAAAATTTTAACTGATTAATGATCAACCAATTAGCAAATGACACGTGTTAATTGAGACTTGATGGTCTCAATGAGCGACACGTGTCGATTATCTTTCTTTCCTTTAATATATATAATGATATATAATGATTTTATGGATGTGATCAATTTAGATTAATCCTATGGCTATCCATTAAATAACGGGATCATACCCTTTAAATTAACAATGAGACTGTAATTTTACCCATTATTAAATTATTTTAACAGAATCAAAATTTAAATTTGATAGTGATCCCTTAGTTTAGCTAGATTAAGATTCAAAACGAGAAAGATGTAGCTGATTTCAATTTTTCTGCGAGAACTAGTGATATGTGTTATATTCACTACATTGCAGTGAAATTTATTGCATTTCAAAATGAGAATTATGGCTTTCGCCATGTAATTTGCAACTTTACATATGAAAATTTATAAATTCTACCGTGAAAATTGATAATTTGGTCATGAAATTAGGAGGTGTAGAAAATGAGTACTCCCTCCGTCCCATAATTATTGTCTATTTTGCCCAAAAATTTTGGTCCCAAAATTATTGTCCAATTTGACTTTTTATGGATCAAGTTACACATTTGTCCTTAGAAAAAAACATTATCCATAAAATCTTTGTGGTTAAACAATTACTTATGCAG